GGTTTTGAGGAGTTTTCTCAAGGTCTGAAAGATTTGAACGCATGAACACAGCAACAAGATGCACTTTATCAGAAAGAACGAAACTGTTTGCTGTTAAGAACTCTATGTTCTTGATCTCTAGTCCTGTTTCCTCCTTCACCTCTCTTGCTGCACATTCCTCAAAGCTTTCACCTGTGATTCCATTTTAACCAAATCACTATATGTTTATCAATTGTTCCCCTGCTTTACAGATTGTTCATATACATAACAGTATGCAATTGATTTATCGGCGTTGAATCCAGCGATTTTCTCCGATTATCGTTACGATTTGAAGGGGGGAAAGTTATCAGAAGTTCAGAAAAGGTTATATGGAATATATCCTTATAATGATTCAAAATTAAAGGTTGATTTCCATTTCATCTTCGAAACAAAGGTCAAATGAGAATATAGCGAAACAGGGGATAATATTGATGAGCATTAGGGTAAAACGTGATAAGGGGTTAAAGGAGGAGAACTGACCGAACTCAAGGTGGCCGCCGGGGAGGGCATAGGTGTATGCACCAATAGAAGAGGAGCGGCGGCGGCCGAAAAGTATCTGATCATTCTTCAATATAAACACAGCAACGCCGATTTCCGGCGCCGGCGACATCGTTCCGTTCTCCAAAGGTCCAACTATTTTGACTAATAAAGGGAATTTTATGAATATCAAATGGCACACTCATTTTGAATATCTTGATCACGACGAAATTAATACTTTAAAATGTACTATTTTCATGTTGTTATCAATTACCAATATTTGTAATATTGATTTAATTATAAAAACTATAAATTTTATTTCTATTTTAAAACCTTGAATTATAAAACTTTTATAACTTTTTAAATAAAAAATTCATTGATTTGGTTTAAAATAGGCTAATGGAGAGTTAGATGTTATTATTGCTTTTGTTAGATAGTGGATGCTAAAACGACTAATTCATGTAAATAGTAAATAGTGCGTTAGTACAATCTGCCTTTCTAAAATTTATAATGCGTTGTATTTTTTTTTTTTTTTTTTTTTTTTTTTTTTTTTTTTTTGTAAACATTTTGATGGAACAATGACATTACATAAAAAAAAACATGTTAATATGTGTCGTATCAATCATAATTCAAATATGATTGCTATATTGAATTTTTTTGTCAACTATCATCGATTTAACACTTGGATATTATATTGTCAAACCAATCAAAATTGTGTACTCATCTTGTTATAATCGTCTATTAAGACAATGTTATTAAATCTTATTCAAAAAATTGTTAGTAAGTAAATAACACATACAAAATAGTTATAGATGTGCTTTTAGGTGACCTACATATTACATTAAGAACAATGCTATTAACAAATGCATAAATGTTATATATATATATATATATATATATATATATATATATATATTATATATATATATATATATATATATATATATATATATATATTATAAAGAATGAAAGTTAGCAATAGTAAAATCGCTCCTTTTTTTGTCTATTTCTGTTTAGGTTTATTTTTTAGATTTTTTTTTTCGTCTGGGTGTGAAACGGTATTTATTTTAGACGTTCCTGCCTTTGTATCAAACAGTATTTATTTTACATTTTACTGCCTTTTACTTTTCCACATGTTCTGTTATGCTTCTTTTATTTTCCACGTGTTCCATTCTTATTTTCTCTTTCTCTTTCATTCTTCATCGCCTTTTTCTTCCTCAAGGTTTTAGTATAGTCTATCCACAAAAATTCACCACCTCATCTCGATGCCTCCTAAACCCTCTGTGAGTGTTTGCTCTTCTATATGTTCAAGAAATCGCTACTTCTCACGATGTTGTGCTCCCCAATTTCTGAGAATCATCCTCTCCACCTCTCCTGTAACCAGGGCCGGTTCATTGTTTTTTACTACCCGGAGCGAGATAAAAAATTTTATGCCTTTATATATAAAAAATTTAGAAAATAAAAAATATAGTAAATTTTATAATCAAACAATCAATACAATACAAACGAAACCTACAAAAATCATCTAAACCGTTGTCTTCGTGCATTTTTTGAAGCAAAAATATCTCTTATTTTACAATAATCAATATTTTGTAGAAAATCACTTTCAATACTTAAAAGTGATAATCCATTCAATCTTTCTTGAGACATAGTACTTCGGAGATACGATTTCAAAAGCTTTAATTTTGAAAAACTTCTTTCCGCGGAAGCAACCGTAACCGGCACTGTCAATAAGATTCTATATGCAACCAAAACATTAGGGAACATATCCATTCTTCTTGCATACTCCACTATTTGAATAGATGTCCAAGGACCTTCACATTTGTATGCTTCATTAGGTAACATTTTCTGCAAAATTTGTAACTCAATAAATAAACCAATTCCATCAATATCACATTCTTCACCACTTGTCAAGTTGGACTCAAGATTTAAACAACATTTTTTTAATTTATCATCATCTAAAGAAACTAATTTGGAACCATCAAATAAAAAACCAAATATAGATTCAAAATATTGCATTTGTTCAAATCTACTTTTCAATTGAACAAGAGCCATATCTACTATAACAATACAATAATCTCTTTTAAATGCTTCTTGAGAATATTGGTGTTCTCTTTCGGTATTTGGAATTTCATCAAATTGTTTTTTTCTTTTATAATCACGTTTTTTTTAAAATTCGGGTTTAACTTTAACAGTATTTGCTATTTCTTTAGCTTCACTAATAGCAAAGTCAAACCCACTTTCCCTATATCCTTCAAAATAATTAATTAACCCCTCTAAATTTTTTACAGCAACATCAATAAGCATTTCTTTGGATTGTAACTTTTTACTAACCAAATTAATTTTGTACAAAACTTCATACCATATAACTAAACTTAAAATAAACTCAAAACTAGAAAATTCACCATTTACTAATGAATCAGCATCTCTACACACTTGTCCATTATCACTTTCTATAGATAATTTTTTTAAAGCTTTTCTTATTTGGGAAAATTGTGTTTTTATTGCTTTAACACGTTCAATATGGCTTTTCCAACGAGTAGATGATAATGATTTAAGTGTTAGATCATCTATAAATTGAAGTAAAACACTCCATCTTTTTGTTGAATTAGAAAAAACATTATAAATCGTTTGGCATGTACCAAAAAAAGTTTTTGCCTTTTGACAAGAATTTGCCATATCACATAAAACCAAATTTAAAGTATGACATCCACAAGGCATATAAAAAGCTCTACTATTTATATCAAGCAATCGTTTTTGAACACCTTGGTGTTTTCCTTTCATATTTGTCCCATTATCATACCCTTGACCACAAATATAATTAATATCCAAATCAAGAGATTTTAGAGCATCTTGTAAAACATTAAAAAGACCTAGATCGGATGTATCTTCTACATTTAAAAATTCTAAAAAAAACTCTTCTACTTTTAGTGGAACGTTTTCCAAATCTACACATCTTATAATCAAAGTCATTTGTTCTTGGTGACTAGCATCCAGAGTGCAATCAAGAATTACAGAAAAATATTTTGCATTTTTTATTTTTTTAATAATTGCACTTTTTACCTCGGATGCCAACATATCAATTAATTCATTTTGAATTTTATGACTAAGATAATGATTATGTGTTTCTTTGTCTTTAATCATTCGAAAATTTTCTTTCATTACCGGATCCCATTCAACAATTAATTCAATTACACTTAAAAAATTACCATTTGAGTTTTCATAAATTTTTTCATTTGTACCACGAAAAGCTAAGTTATTTTTTGCTAAACATTTGACAACAGAAATAATTCTAACCATAACTTCTTTCCAATGTTCGGTATCTTTTTTAATCATTACTTGTAGCTCTTTATCAATTGTTTCATTTTTATTTAACCTAATACGTGTTTCAGTCCAAGTTCTTAAACAAACCATATGATCAGAACTATTTTCATGTTGTTTTAATGTTTCACTAAGATGCTTCCAATCTTTAATTCCTTCGGTTGCCAAATTACTTTTAGTTCGAACGGTTTTAAAAAGTTTACAACAAAAACAAAAAACTTTATCAAGTTCGTTTGAATACACTAACCATTTTCTATCAAAACAATCACCATTTTTTAATTTACGTGTATAAAAATCAAAAGAAAAATGTCTACCAAGTGCGTCTTTTGGAAAAATTATGTTTGTATCAATTTCTCTATTTGACCCTTTTTCTATTAGTAAATCTTTCATTTCTGAATCTAAATCATCCCATACTTTAGGATAAAAAATATTAGAATCACTTGGTTTGTCTTTCTCAACAAAGTCATTTTTATCAAAATCATTAGAAAGATCAACCGAATCATTGGAAGTACTTGGTGGAATATTAAAATTATCATTTTTTTCAAAATCACTAACATTTTGATTTCTAACCAAAAATTTATTCAAAGACCCTCTTAATTCATTAGCCTCTTGTTGTTCTTTTCTTTTTTCGTTTTCTATTTTGTGCACCCGATGGTTGTTTTCAGGGAATCATATTTAAAACAAAACAAATCTACTTATAAACACTAAACAAGGAATGAAGGAAAGATACAACCTGAACAATAACACACAGCAGCAAAATTTGAGCAACCTTCACAGCTTCACAGTTGTCAAATATCAGAATAAAGAAGCCTCCTGAATCCTGATTCTTGATTCACATCACAAAAACAAGAAACAAAAACACAAAAAGTTTACAAAAACGAAATTACATATATTAAAATGAAACAGAAAATGGTAAAATTGAATTAGAAGAATAGTAAATAACTCACCTAAATCAGGAAAAAAAATCAAAATCACAGTTCTTTTTCGTTTTACAGCTTTCACTTTTCATATATGCCTTCTGAAATAATGAAATACATAATCAGAAATAATGAAATACATAATAATAAATAATGAAATACATAATCAGAAGACAAGTAGAGAAGTAAAGAACTCACCAAAATTAAAAAAAAAAAAAAAAAAAAACCGAAATCAGACCATGCTTTTTTGATTTTCAGCTTTCAGATATGCCTTCAAGCCTCCTCTATTCACATCACAAAATCAAGTAATCAACCATTGACCTAATCACCCAATCATTTAATCAAATAGAGTGAAGATATGAATATGATGAATTGATGATTCATGTCAGAAATTTTAGAAAGAAATAAGAAACAAACAAACGAAAAAAAAGAACTCACCGATTTTACAAATCTGTTTTCCTCTTGCTTTAGACAGAAATTCTGTTTTCCTCTTGCTTTAGACAGAAAAAAAAAATCCAACCCAAATCGTTGCTACACCTATGAATCGTTGATACAACTCCGAATGAAGGAAAAAAATTCAATTTAATCGAATGGTAGAGACTGAAAGAGTCTCGATCTCCACGATTAAGAGTCTCGAGAGATAGAATACAAAATCGGGAATAAGATAGAGACTGAAAGAGAGATAGAATAAGAAACGGAGAAAGGTGAATAGAAATCGGACCATAGACAGCGATTAAGAGTCTCGATCTCCACGATTTTCAAGGGTTCCCGTTATAAAATTGACGATTGAAGTTCTCGACAGCATCTTGGCGCTCACGAAGTAATCTCCCGCTTGGCCGCTTCCGCTTCAGCTCTCGTATAGACGCCTCAAGAGAGTCACGCCTCTTTTCTTCTTGGACTGCTGTTGGTGCTGGACTTAAGTTCTAGGCCAAAGTTCCGATATATATATATATATATATATATATATATATATATATATATATATATATATATATATATATATATATATATAGTATAACTTGTTGGACAAATTTTATGCCCCTAATTTTTTGATGCCCTGGGACTAAGCCCACCTAGCCCATGTATTGGGCCGAGACTGCCCGTAACCACCGTTGTCGTGTTCATCTACCTCTGGCTAAATCAAGCTTCCCTCTTTTTTTACCAAGTCCCTTCTCGATGTTGATTTTGTGCCCTAAAGCCCATTCTTGAGGTCCACGTTTAGCCTGCGCTTCTTCCTTTGTCCTTCGTCAAATTACCCCTAAAATTATCATCGCCGAAGTTGAGACTTCACTGTCGCAATTAATTGACTTTTGGCTTCAGGCTGACACCTATTTTCCATCGACTTTCAGCGGTTCGACGTCTACACCACAGACGCTTTGCGATTGTAGGTAAGCAAACTTTCATTTCGGATTTGAACGAAGCTATTGTTCGATTTCGGTATAATTTGGATTTTTCCATCGTTTTTCCATCGACTTTCAGTTGTTCGACGTCTACACCACAGGCGATTTGTGATTTGCAGGTAAGCAGACTTTCATTTCGCATTTGAACAAAGCTATTGTTCAATTTCGGTATAATTTGGATTTTGTTTTTTCATTCTTTATTGTGAAATTTGAAAGTGAGTTTGATGATGCACACCAAGTGCTCGAAGAAATTTTACAACCAAATGTTAATGTTTCTTACATCTGTTGTGCTCTGTGGATGCACGGATTTCCAAGCACTATGATGTTGTCGATCTTTTACTGTGTCCCTGGTGATTATGTGGAATTGAGATAAAGCATTGGTTGATTTCAGGTAATTTTATATCATTTTTTTGACTTAATCTTTACACTTTTATTCACTCCATTTATTGATAATTATCTGCTTTTGTATTATTGATAGGGCTGATTGGAGATGTGTTGTTGACAACCTTTTAACCAAAAAGAGGTGCTGCAAAGGCTTCAACAATTAAACTATATACTCAATCATTAACTAATGATGATTCTCTCCAAAAGAATCCTTTTGAATAAGGGTAAAACGGTAATTAGTTAGTTATGTTTATAAACACTTCAAATTTTATTTCTTTTTAACTACAATGTATAAACCACTAACACTGATGTGTTCATGATTTTTAAGGTTTATTATTATTATTATTATTATTATTATTATTATTATTATTATTATTGTTGTTGTTGTTGTTGATGTTGTTGTTGTTGTTGATGCTCCTGTTACAAGTCGACAGCAGTGTTTTGTAAATCAAATCACAAACTTATATGGTATTCTAAAATCAAGAAAAAGACCAACTTGAGTTGTTTCTTATTGATAGTGTTTTTGTTTTATGACAGACCTGATTCATTCTCCCCTTGGGCAATTACCACTAACCATGGAGACCGTATGCAAACATTCTCAAGATACAGGAACAAGAAAGCAAAGAGGAATTTTGGCAGAAAAATCAGGGTATTATATATTACGTTATCACATATTTTAGATTCCTAATACACATTTCTTGACGGGTTACCAAGATTATTTTTAGAAAAACTTTGCTTCTTTAACATTAGATTCATCAGCCCAGTGATAATAGGCAGCAACACGTCGTAAAAAACTCATTGAAAAAACAACAGATTTCGACTGCAACCCTGATGAAGTTTATGCTCTCGATACCAACGAAAATTTGTCAAATACAAAAACCACATGCCTATCACCCACAAATGAAGCCTAACAGAACCTATTGATCTCGACATTAAAGAGGTAAATGGTTTTACTTTTCAGAACAATTGTTTTTCTATTTAAATTTTCTATACAAATAATCTTGCATTAAGACAATTTTGTTACTTTGGTTGATACTTTTGATTACTTTTAATTTATTTTCAATGCGTAATTGGTAATGGAACTTAATGTATAATGAACATTATGTTGGTTACTCATATTTTCTAATAAATCTTTTATCGTAGTTTTTCATTTAGGAAATTGGTTATTTTTCTATTATTTTTATTTTTATCTTACTTTTTTTTTGTAACATCCCGTTAAGGCATTGTAGTGACATATAATTTACTAATATAAAAAAGAGCATTTACCATGTATATGATAAGTAATATTGAATTTTTTTTTTTTTTTTTTTTTTTTTTTTTTTTTTTTTTTGTGTGTGTGATCTAACATTTAAAATGAACAAAGTACTACACTTATTATATTTTACATGACAAAAGGGTAAAACAGTCTTTTGCGAAAGCGATTTGTATGGTTAGTCTTTTATTTCATTGTTATAATGATTTTTTTTTACAATTAAATCAATTTAGTTACTTGATTATTTTTTGTAGTGATGAAGACAATATTATACTTTTTTAGGTGAAAACGCTGGGGAGATCACAATTTCATTATCAGTCAAAGAAAGTCAAAGTCGTGGTCCCCTTTTTACACTTAAAGAAAGATTCAAATAGGTATTGTTTGATTATTTTTTTCCAAATGGAGTTGATGGGTGAAAGAGTTATTTCTTTTTTGACATTATTTATAATTCTTTGCCTGTTTTGAAGCTTCTTTAACCCTCCACATTTATGAGTAATTATATGTCTAAATGATGTCTTCTACACTAATTCAAGTACATCAAATGTTTTATGTAACTAGGATGGGAGTTGATAATGGTAGGAAGTGAAATAGGGTTAAATTGATCATTTCAGGATCACCGAGTGTATTATTGCCTTTTGCAACTTAGGATTACACTTTTAGTTCTTATACAATTCCTTTTGCAATCTACTTACATTTCGATACTAATATGAGCAATGTATTTTATATGTTTTTTTTTCTTTTGTTCTAATAATATATATATATTTATTTCACAGGATAAATGGCAAAATATTTTGAAAATCGAAATCAAACACCAAATTCAGCATACCAACAACAACCAAAATCAAAAATATTTTATATATTTTATATTTTGAAAATATTATATGAGCAATGTATTTTATATGTTTTTTTCTTTTTGTTCTAATAATATATATGAGCAATGTATTTTACATGTTTTTTTGTTCCAATAATGTATTTTACATTTCGAGTGTATTTTGATCAACATACCAACAACAACCAAAATCGATCTCAACTTCTTCAAAGGATTCGACTATCGACTCAACTCAGTCCATCTTCCCCATATCTATTATAAACCAAACCAAGAACACAGATGTTGACTTTTCCTAATTTTGACTTTTTGAAATCAAATACCAAATTCATGATTCTATTGACCGATTTTAGATTAAAAACATGATGAATAAACTGTTTTTCTCATGTTCTTCACAAAAAGTCCACAGATCTTGATTAATTTCATCAAAATCAATGTACCAATTTCTGATTTCTAAGATATGACTCGAATAAAATCCATTTCATCATATAAGAATCATATGAAATCGATTCCTAAATTATGATTAACAATCAACAACACACGATTGTTAAGAACGATGGATAAAATCGGATCTCACAAAACAAACGATGATCAAACGATCAACTGAAAAAAAATTCAGATGTTTGGATCATAATGTACAACCATGGAAAGCACATGCATATCAATTGGCTTTTCTTTAATTAAATGATATCAAATCCATATATAAGAGAATGGACTTGAGATGATCCGATTACAAACTCTTTAGATTGTAAATTGGGCTTGAACTTTGAATAAAAGATGAACAATAACTGGATTTAACTTTTGGGCTTCAAAATGGTTAATTGAATAATAATTGGAATACGAAATTGATTGGGCTCAACGAATTTGGACATGAGTAGTATTCGAATTTAGATTTTGTTTTTGGTTGGATTTGATCTTAAAAAAATTATTGGATCAACAATGGGGTTGAAACGGAATAGATCCAAAAATCAAATCGATAAAAAAAAAAACGTAAAGCACGAATCAAAATCATGGACGTTTTGGAATCCATTTGAGAATTTGAGATACCTTTTTGACGAATCGAGATCCATTTGCAACGAACGAATCAATTTTAGAAGATCTTGGTTCTTTTGTCGGAATGAGAAAATCTCCGATTTGAACATTGTACCAATCACGATGCATGTTGTACAACTTGTTCTTCATGTTCTTCGTGTTCTTCAACTATCCAAGAACATCTTCAAAAGAACCACCAACACTATTGAGTTTTGCCTTTAAATCCAATGCAACACTTGGAGATTGTTGCTTTGGAACCCAAATTTGCTTCACGGATTTAGACTTCACAACATTTGGCGATTTTTGTGAGTAAACCTGCTTGTTTTTATGATTGATCTTCTTTTCTTTTTCTTTCTCATCTTTTTGCATCTTGAAGTCTTGATTTCATGAACAAACCCACTTTCCACAACTTGAACTTTGTGAGTTTGAATCAAATCTTTTGGAGTTTGATATTTGTGAATTTCTTGGATCATCGGCTTCCGATAAGGAATCATACCTTCAAACGAATCATAAGAACAAAAAATATCATCGGTTTGAACTCCAATTGAGCAAAAAACTTTTTCATTAAAAGAATCAACTTGAACTCCTTTTTCTCAAACATTAATAACATCACATTGAACTCCATTGTCAAGAACTTCAACAAACTTAAGAGCACGAAGATCATTTGGGTCTTCAATAAGAGAAACATATTTCTTATTGAACAAATATTTTTCTTCTCCATTCTTATCACTACTACGAGTTGATATGGACCATGTAATATCATCCAACCATTTGATCTCACAAAGTGGTTGAAATATTAAGCTTCCATGATCATCCTTCAATCCTCTATAAGAAACCATAGTTTCCCAATATATCAACTTGTTTAACACCAACCCATAATATTGATCTTTATTGACAATGTATTTGATATCTTCAATGATCACAATCCAAGAATTGTAAGGCAAATTTACCATGATCACAACAACTTGAAGTTTTCTAGAGAGAGAAAGTGATTTCGAATGGGTTTTCTAGAGAGAGAAAGTGATACAAACAAGTATTCTAGAGGGAGAGAATTGAATTATTGATCAAATCAAGGAAAAATTCGATTTCTAGAACACAAAACACTCTCTAAACACGAAGATCAATAAGAACATGAAGAATCACCAAATCAAGATAGCCATCAAGGATCAATTCTTGATCCAATCAAGAACACCCGCTCTAATACTAATTGTAGTGGTGTTGATTATGATGGCATGTGCGAAATATGAAAGATCTGGTGAATCATCATCTAAAATCAAGAACACAAGGAGTAAATAAATCTTTTTAAGCTCATATTAGATCTAGAAAGAATATACAAATGGGTTTGTACAAAGTTTCTCTCTCTAGTCTAACACTTCAAATGGTTCCTTACATAAAATGAGTGCCACTCACTTCCTTATAAAGGAAAGCCAACTCATCACACATACAAGTGGATAAAGCCTCATCAAAGCGTGACTTTGCACCCTAACAGCAAGCAGTCTACTAATAGGAAGCAGGATATAGGTTAGTTATCTTATTTTATCTTCTATTATTTGAATGCCCTTAATCAGTATAGTTCTTTTTTTTTTCTTTTTTTTTTGTAAAAAGTATTTTAATATATTGATTATAAATGAATGGAAAGTTTATGCTAATCACAGAATGAGCAAAAGAGATGTCAACAATGGCGTCCATTAACAAAATCAATATTGGCAAGGAGACATGTAACCTGTTTTCTCTCTCGAGTACAAATGGTGTTGTTTTTGTTTTGTGGGAGATTCTAGCACAACATCTATTTTTGGTAACCTGCAATGGATATACTATTTATTTTTGGTTAGAAAATCATTTAAGTTTTTTGTTTTTTGCAACCTGTTTTCTCTCTTAAGTACAAATGGTGATGTTTTTCTTTGGTGTGTGATTTGGTCATTCAAGGAAATGAAATCAAAGAAGAATATAAGATTGCATTTTCATTGTTTTTTAAAATCTATTGAAATATGATATTCTATTTCTTTTACTAACATGATTTATTGTTACATTTCCACTCATTTGATTGATGGCGAATTACATAGAATAGCAACATAATTTAATGTGGATACCAATTCATGCAATGTACTTCATTATTTGTCTCAAAAAGCGAACATGTTCCGCCCCGCGCAACGCGCGAGAAACCCCCTCTAGTTAATAATAATGATATTAAGTAGAATGCTAGTATAAATGTTATTAATAGCAATTATATTTAGTACAATGCTATTATCGATGCTATTAATAACAATGATATTAAGTAAAATGTTATTATCAATCCTATTAATAACAAGGACATTAGTACAATGTGATTAACAACCTCTCTATTAATTGACAATTGATGTGCAGAACAATGCTACTAAGTACAACATTATTAACAAAAGGACTAGTAACATCACTATGAAGTCAAGAACACACAAATAATAGTTATACACTTGCGTTTAAGTCAACTTCATATTGCATTACATGAAATGCTATCAATATCATGTTATAGAAAGTATTGTTGGGTTATGAGCAAAACAAAAATCCTATGGTGCACATCCTAAAGCTTTGGATCTAGGTTTTTCTAATTGTACGTAAAATAATCATTCAATTCTTGTAAACCCTAGTTCTAGCATACAAAAATCGAAATCAACATAAACAAACAAATAAGAATGTTACCTTTCAATTGTAGCTTGAAGATCCTTGCCTTTGAGAGCCTAGAATCACAAATATAATATCTCTAATCGATCACAAACACCAAAATAAATTGGAGAATGTTGGAGAGAGAGGATGAGTGATATTTTCGGCTCTAGAGATCCTTAGGGTTCAATGTAGCTGAAAATTGGATGCCAATGGGGTTAACATATATATATATATATATATATATATATATATATATATATATATATATATATATATATATATATATATATATGATGAATTAGGGTTTCGGTCAAATACCTAATCTGGTTGCTTAAGCCCTAAGCAGTCCATATGAACCTTCCAGAACTCCTAGCCTTGGACAAAATCCTAATGTGCTTCCATAAGATTTTGTCCACCTCTTATCCAAGAGGTCCTCAACCCATTTCTGCAATTATCTTATAATTACAATATCAGTCCCCTTAATTCAATTAACCTCTTTTGACCACAAATTAATTCTTAATTAATTATTGAACAATGTTAATTATATAATATGATTTCTCTTTTAATATATTATTCAAATAATATATTAATAAATCACATTTATCCTCTTTCTCCATTATTCATCCAGTCAAGTTGCTTTGGTGAAGGTAACCCAAAAGGACAATGCTACTATCGGGTCAAGTACATACCAATTATAGTTATGGGCTTAAACACCTAATCCAACAGTCTCCCACTTGTATAAGTCTAATAACTATAAATGCAAGTACAACTTAAAAATCCTATTAGTAATCGTAGCTATCAAAAGCCGCTGTCGAACTCTGACATGTCCTTTAGATAAGGGATCGTATAGTCCTCCGTTCTCAAGATATCATGTGGACAATTACATGGAACATAGTCATACTTATTGTCCAGCAGTTTGTTTTTCGATCTTTGATCTGTCTGACATAGAACTTAATTTAACACATCAATTCAGTCCTGACTGGGCCCGACACATAAGTCAAACCAAATCATCGAGGGGCCTAAGATATCGCTTTTAACCTCGTAGGATAAAAGGAACACATAAACTTCGACTTATATGATTGTATTATTTACTCATCAAATCATACATAATAATGTATTTTATAACATCAAGTTACTGATGCGTTTACGCATTATCAATGCACAACCAACTCGTAAACAACAACTCATATATCTAGGTTTAAAGACTATATGATATTATCATCTCACAATCACTCGTGATTAAATTCCATGAAGTGAGTCATGTGAGCGTGGGTTTAATCCAATCCTCAAATATTATTTTAGGAGCACTCATGAACGTTGCAACAAACCTTTTCTATGTCTAAATGCTTTAGACAGTCTACAAGCCAATTCATGACAGTCTTCTTTCATACTTACTTCTAACGTATGCTCGACTGTGGATAGTTTAAATGATCTTATTATTTAGGATGTC